CCCGAGCTTGGTCGGTGATATAATGATAATAACAGGATAAACCAAAGGTTTATGGAAAAGAAGGAATAGGAATCTTATGGAATGAGATGAAGGCCAAATGAATCAGGATAAAAAGAGGAATGAAATGGAAAGGGGAGATGGAAAGGAGAAAGAAATGGAACGGGGTCGTACTCTCACAAACCCCTTCTCGCTGACTGAAGCCTCTAGCCACATAGCGCGCCTTGAACACAGGCGGCTCTCCAGGGGGGCGCTTCACCTTGAAGAGCCATCGGCCGTCGACTACGTTCACCTCGGGTAGGGGAACTGCGCAGACGTAGGTACCGGTTGATCGCCAAGATGCCATCTCTTGCTCCATGGCAGCTATCCACTGAGAGGCCCAGCGTCCCGAGGTCGCCTCAGCGTAAGTGTGAGGGGTCAGGATGTCAAAGGCATCTGGGTCACCCTTAGGGACTAGCAGCATGGAGCAGAGATGGGGAACAGCCTCAGACAGGAAAGCAAGCTCGTGCTGCGTGTCCTCTAGGACGTCACTGCCAAGGGCAGGAGCACCCCCGACGGATGGAGGACGGAAGGGGTCAGAGACCAGAGCGGTGGCGTATTCAAGGCGGCGGTTAGAGGTGAAGTGAGCGCCAGCAGCGACAAGATCGTCAAGACTCCAGAGAGGAACAGACGGGTCGATAACGAGGGAGGCAAGGACCCGAGGAACAGGAGGAGGAGCAGCACGAAGGTAGTAAGTTAGAAGGGGAGGCACGATAGCGAGCGACGACGGAGGAGGCTAAGGCAGGAGGGGAGGACGAGACGCATGGGAACGAAGCAACATAGGATTAGAGCGCTAAACAGGGGAGAGAGGACGAGCACGAGAGGGACAGCGAGACCACACGTGAAACGGAGGCGTCTGATCAGGAGACAGAGGAAAAGTAACACGAAGGGAACGAGGTGGGAATCGAGCCGGGGACGAGTCCGGCGGAGGAGACACATGACCGTGGACAGGAAGGGGAGGAGGCGGTGGGGGAGGGTCAGGCGAGCAGTCAGGGGAGGGAAGGCCGAGCAGGCAAAGGGCAGACACCGGCGGCAACTGCTGCTGCTGCTACTCGACGCCGACACCTGGACCGCCAGCTGCACCGCAGCTACCACCGGAACACTCCACTCTAGCACCCCCAGAATGAGCACCCCCAGAGCGAGAAACCTCTCCAGCACCGGTGTCACCGCTGAGCCCATCGGGACAAGCCATGACAGGAACCCCAGGACTAGCACCCTCCTTTATGCCAGCACCACCAAAGGCCACGAACGCCAGCTGCTGCTATGACGGCTTCGGCGGCGGCGACTGCTGCGAGGGCGGCGGCTGTGGCGGCGGCGATTGCGACGGCGGAGGAGGAGACACCGGGGGAGAGACATGCGGCAAGAACTGTGCCACAGGGCCACCAGAGTCAGCCGACTCCTCGACCGGGGCAGCCGACGGGAGGGGTGTGACGTGAGACACACCAGACGGAGCAGGACAGGGAGGAAGGTGACCTGGGGCTACCGAGGGAGTGGGGACCAGAAACAAAAGAGGGGAAACCGGGAGACCTTGGTGGGGAAATCCGTGGTAAAAGAAGACAAACTCGTCGAAAGTGGTGTCACGGGAGTGAAAGAAGTGGTGAGACGGCAGGTGGTAAAAGTGCTTGTCAGAGGAGTCCAGGGGGAAACCGAGGAAGACATACACGTCAGTCCGGACAGTGAGCTTGTCCATGCCAGAGGCATGAACTTGAGTGAAGCAGCCCCAGACGTGGAACGCGGACGCATCACCAGGGAACCCGGTCCAAAGAAGGGTCGGCGAAACCTGCGGCTGCTGGGAGCGTGGCCACAGGTTTAGCTAGTGAGTGGCGTAGCGAACGGCGAACGGCCACAGAAAATGGGGTGCACCGGCATGAATCATGGAGGTACGAGCCACCACCATGACCAAGCCGATGCATCGCTCAGCGACCCCATTCTTTTGCGGGGAGATCGGTAGGGTGTACAACTGGGTGATGCCCTCCTCACGACAGAACTGTCCAAGCCGACCAGAGGCGAACTCGCCGCCACAGTTGGAGTGGAGACACATCACAGGGAGACAGCGGTGGAGGCGTACAGCTACGACCCACGGGATAAGAACGTCGGGCATGTCGGCCTTCCGCTCCAAGGGAAGCATCGTGGTGCAGCACGTGTACTCGCCAACGAGCACTAGAAAGTAGCGCTCGCGACGCGGTCCAGGGACGAGGGCCGGGCCTAGACGTCCAGATGCAGGGTTTGGAGGGGTGCGGTGGCAGGACGAAACGAGGAGGATTGAGGAGCTCAGTGGAGCCGGCCCTTGACGCAGGGCGTGCACGGCGGCGCTGGCAAGGGAGGGAGGGCAGGAAGCGACGCCGGGAGACCTAGGACGAGACCGTGCTGGAACATGTTACGCAGACATAGGAGTGCAGGGTGACCTAGGCGGTGGTGCCACAGAAGCGACGGGTGAGTGAGGTCTCAGCGGTCTCAGCGGCTGGAGCAGCAGTAGCGACCGCAGCGGAAACGTAAGCGTACGTGCACTGGGAGGGAGCACAGCCCTGAAAGATAGGGACTGCCGCAACACCGCTCGACTAAGCGATAGTGCGCTAGCGAGTCTCTATCTCAGAAAGGGCAGCGGCAAAAGCGGTCAGAGTGAGGTCACCAGGGTGCTGGCTAAGGAAGTAGTCTTGGGCAATGGCTAAGCGGTCAGGCAGGCACATGGCAATAAAGTACAGGGTAGCACAAAACTGTGGGGGGAAGGCAGTGAGCTGGGCAGTAGTGCTAGCAGCGCGATAGCTAGTCTCTAGTGCACGGAGGTAAGTGGCGAGATCAGCGACAGTGGGGAGAGCAGAGAGATCGGGGAAGAGCATGGGGAAGATCAAGCGTCCAGCTGAGGCAGAGGCAGGCGTGGAGTAGCGAGCAACTATTGCATCTAAGAAGTCTTTGGCGTTCGCGATAGCAGTGAAATGCGGGCGCTCAGAAAGGGGAAGCGCATGGCTTATGGCAAGCTGCGCTACAGCATTGCGAGAATCCCAGACAACGCGAGCTAGCGCCGCAGCAGCAAAGGCCTCACTCTCAGCAGTGGTGGGGTTAGCAGGGAGGGGTTCAGGCGCGGAGGGGCGGGAAAGCAAGCCATCAACATGCATAGCCAGGGAGTGCCCATCTTAGCGCTGACCTGTCAGGTGCTGGCGAAGATCGACAAGCCAGGCGGCGAAGTCGATCGCGTGCCCCTCCGCGTGTAGACGTAGCTTGGCGCCCACCATCACGAAACCGCAGCAGCACCAGGACACAGTGGCACTGCGGCACAGGGACACATCGGCGCAACGATACAGGGATACAGAGACTGAGCTGCACGGCGATATAGCGACGTGGCACCAGGACTCGCCGAAACAGGGACACGGCGCGCTAGGAGTCGGAGGGCGCAAGGGGGCCGAGGCACACGAGGGGCCGGATAGGCGGTAGGGGCCGGCTAGGCGGTAGAGGGACCGGCGGCGGCGCTAGAAGGGGCCAGCTAAGCTTGAAGGGCCGGCTAGGCATGAGGGGGGCGGCTGGGCACGAGGGGCCGACTGGGCGCGCGGGGGTGGCTGGGCGCGAGAGGTTGGCGACGACGCGAGGAGCCGAATGCAGAATGTATGTATAAGTTGACACAGATGTAGGGGGTGTGATAGGTTCTTCGCCAAAATCACATACGCAATTTGACGCGAGCTGGAGCACGTGTGAGGAGCGTGAGTGGACCTTCGCCAAAATGACGTAGGTGTGGAGAGTTGGAGCATATGTGAGGGGCGTGATTGGTCCTTCGCCAAAATCACGCAGGTACAATTTGTACGCAGTGAAGTCCGATTCGACCTAAGGATCCGGAACTAAAAAAGTGCAGGCCTGATTAGCCATGCTTAATTTCTTTTTTGGCCTGACAAAACATGCCACGCCCAAAACCCGACCCTTAAAAACAGCGTTTTCACATGAGAGTCCCTGAGCAATCAGACTCCCTAAAACCAATATAGAGCCCTGCTCGTCAGGGCCTACTTTTGGATTTTTACTTCTCTGAAATAAGGTAGTGGCATTTTTCATTACTCTAAAAGTCAGAGTGCTCCCCAATAGTTTCTATTAATTTTTAGGGTTTTTTGTATTTCTAAAGAAATTACACTGACAATGCAGAGGGTTTTTTTAAGTAACTTTCTCTGCATAAAAGTCCTCTGCGCGTGCGGGGCAAGATTGGGAGATGGGGGGAAAACGAAAGGGAAGGATCGAGAGATTGCAGGGGCGTTGGAGACTGAGATTGCAGGGGCAGAGGAAATCGAGGGGAGGTCGAGTCGACACAGCAGGGGCGGGGAAGGGGGATCTTGCACATTTCCTGCAAGCACACGTTGGCCCTAAATCTGTTGAAGGGCCCAAGAAGACGCCCTCACACAGCCTGCAGCGCATCTTGCTCAAGCCCTAGATTTGGTAAGGGCCAATTAGCGCCCTCACACGCCTTCCAGCACAAATGGCACGGTGATTTTGGTGAAGGGACAATCAGCCCCCTCACACAGCCTCGAGCACGGACCAAACGATGATTTCGCCAGTGACGTGCATGACATGATGCGTTCTGCTCTGCGAAACACAGGGGCACGGCTAGTTGCAGGGGGCAGGGCCATAATCACAGATATCCTCCCTATACATTGACCATCAGAGTGGTATAACGGTTTACTCGGATAAAATCAGCGTAAAAAAAATCATTTTATTTACTCAGGGCCCCTAGAGTAGTTTATAAAAACGACTCTGATTTTCAGAGAAACAGAGTAAATTACTTTGATAAAATAGGCCTTGCTGCTCGCTGTTTGCGCCTCATTACAATGTTCCACAATCTGTCCGTGCATATATGATTTTCGAGACTCGGGATTCTACACACAAACGGAACTGGCGTATAGCGAGTTCCGAACTCAGTTCTGGAACTCGCGGACGAAACCGTGGGCTACACGACACGAACTCAGGCACGTTGATTTGTGAGGAGGCCGGCCTGGCTAGCAAGCGTGCTACGACTGCTACTGCCGAGGGATTGGGCAATGGGATGGCGTACGACGGGAAGATATTAGCTTCCGCCAAATGACCTGACCCGCTGCGATCAGTATTTTCCCGTTCGCGAACGGTTGGCGAAGGTTGCTGAGTACCCGTCCGTCAGGTGCCTCGCCCAGAGATCGCTCACGCTTTGACGGAATGTGGTTGGCTGCGAAGCCTCCTAAACCTGCGCGAGCCTCGCCAAGCAGGCGACAGTCGCGAGACCCCAAAAACGTTGCTTGGGCCAGACACCTCAGCAGGTGGGTAATGCATCGCACCTGTCGGGAATCTGACAATTGTTCGTAATTCTATCATAAGAAGTGTAGTACGAGAGATGTTAGGGTAGCGCTCGTAGCGCATAGCAACGAGTGGTAGTCAGCGTAATGCTAGCACACGTAGCGCATGAATGCTAGCCACGTCATTCCCTAAGGCCGTGCATCGCTGCGAGGATGGCAGCAGCTCGTCGGCAGCGAGCATCGTCCCTTCCCCACCGCCTCGCTCCACATTCCCCGTCCTATCTTGTCTATCTTTCGCCCTTGCTGCTCCTCGCCTTGCTCTTTCACCCGCAGAACCCCTTCCAACCCCTCCAAAGCACCCGCAATGTCGACCTATCAGACTCCGCCCCGTCAGCATCACCAGGGAGCCATGCTGCCGCCCAGCTGCCACCCGCGCCTCAAGCCGAATCCCACCAGCATCTCGAGCGCGAGTCGCTTGCCGTCTTCGCGGCTGTGGAGGCGCTTGCCGCATCCCCATGGCGGGACTTCGAGGCGTCTCAGGCGGCTGTCGACGCTGTGGAGACGGCTCCAAAGCCGGGCGTAGAAGCTTCGCTCCCGGAATTTGGGCAGCCGCGTCTGGCGAGGCGGGCTCGGCCAGACGGGGAGTGGGCGGGTGGAGGGAGGCGGCGATTGGGGGAGGGCGAAGTGCAGGGTGGGGGGAGGCGACGGCTGGGGGAGGCAGACACGCCGTTTAAGGGGACTCAAAGGGGGAGGCGGCAACTGGGGGAGGGCGATATGGCTTTTGGGTCTATTGAACACGCGAGGCGGCGACTGGGCGAGGGCGACATGCACGCCAGGCTGACGCCGCTGTGGGAGACGGCGAGTCGAGTGGCCGTCAACGGCACCGTTGTTATCGTGTCGACCAATGCAGGTGAGCAGCGCGGGCCGACGCTGGTGAGCAGCGAGCCAATGCAGGGAGAAGCAGCATGGGCAATGCGGGTGAGCAGAATGGGCAATGCAGGTGAGCAGCATGGGCAATGCGGGTGAGCAGCATGGGCAATGCGGGTGAGCAGCATGGCCAATGTGGGTGAGTAGCATGGGCAATGTGGGTGAGCAGCATGGGCAATGTGGGTGAGTAGCATTGACGCATGGGATGCATCAAGCATGGCACCCCATGCCCCGGTGTATGCTATTCTACATCATCGTCAACATGTGTTGTGCATGTGCATCCTCCTCCCTCCCCCACTTCCTTGTCCCTTCCAACCCTGTCCTCCCCCCCCCCCCCCCCTCCCCCTCCCCCCCCTCTTTCCATCATCCCTCCCTCTTCTCCCCAACATGCTACCAGGAGACTGGGCTACGCTCGCGGATACGATAGGGCTGACGGGTCACTACGTCGCATTCAACAACGCAAGGCGTGATGTGAATGCGCATCTTCCTCCCTCCCCCACGACCACCCCCCCGCCCCAACCCCCCTGCTTCAAGGCTACGAGGAGTTGCTGGAGAACTGGGCTCTGCATGCTGACAGGATAGGCCTGGCTGGGCACTACATCATCTTTGCTGCTGAGCACCAGAGCTACGAATACGCCAACAACAAGTGGCCAGGACAGGTGTGCTCCTAGTGCTTGCATGGCGGGGACAGGTGTGCTCCTACTGAATGCATGGCCGGACAGGTATGGTATGCTTGCCAGCAGCAGGATACGCCTGGTGGGGGGTCTCCTGTTCGCTGCTGAACGGAAAACCTAGAGGAACAAGTGGCGGGGGCAGGTGTGGTGCAGCGGGTGTGGTGCGAGCGAGCACGAGATGTGCACCAGGTTAGCTTGCAAGGAAGGAGTGGTCGTGGGGGATGATTATGGGGCGGGCATCGGTCAACCCGTCCCAGCCCGCGCCCGTTTTGTTGCAGCCTCGGGGCTCGCTTCGGCGACGGGCCTACACGGGCCAGCGGGCCGAAAGGCCCGTCGACAGGCCGCTCAAATTTTTTAACCAATTGGTAGAAAGTTTTGGCCCCTCCAAACATTTTGTAAAGCTTAGCAAGCATCCTAGCCTACCTGCCTCCTATCTAGCCTAAACGTACCTATCCACCTGCGAGCACGTTTAGGCCCCGATTTTGAAGATACAGGTTCCTGGAGGAGGCATCACCTGCCACCTGCCACACACGATTAGGGTCAAGGCCTAGCCGTTTTTAGGGCGGCGAAGCACCAGATCCGCTCGGATCGCGGGTGAAGTGATCCGATCCGCCAGGATTGGACGGAGAAACGGCGGATCGGCGCGCATCGGCAGGTGAAACGCCACAGGCCCGAGGGTCGATAGGCCTGACTCGGGCCGGCCCGGCCCGAGGACGGTCCTGCCCTGCCTCGTCCTCTACCCTCGGGCGGGCTCGGCCAAAGCTTGGCTCTTGATCATGCCTAGTTGGGATACGTGCGTTTGGCAGCAATAAAATAGGCCTTGCGAGCACTGCATCGTCGTTGAATGGAGTGGTTGAGCCCAATATGCTGGCACCCCCCCAGCCCATGTATCTGCTTGCACTTGTCCCACCGCATACCTCCCCCTGGGGCCTGCACCTTCTCGCCTTTGGCTTCTTCGTGCTCTACTCCCAAGTCCCCTTGCCTTGCTGCTGCTACTCCCCACTACTCATGCATCTTCGCCTGCTCGCACCTCCTCCCTCCCCTCCCGTAGGCGCTGCTGCTGGACTTAGAAGATCATTTCGTGCAGGAGGATCAGCAGGTGGACGTGTCGGAAGCTATAGGAATCAATTCACCAGGCTTTCACCGCGTGGCCTCGCGCCGCGCCGTGTACATCATGCACCTGCTCGCCTTTGGCTTCTCCGTGCTCTACTCCGACATCGACATCGCTCTCCTCCAAAACCCCCTCCCCTACTTCGCTCCCTTCTCCTCCTCCGCCTCCCCCCCCCTCTCCTCCTCCTCCTCCTCCTCCTCCTCCTCCTCCTCCTCCTCCTCCTCCTCCTCCTCCTCCTCCTCCTCCTCCTCCTCCTCCTCCTCCTCCTCCTCCTCCTCCTCCTCCTCCTCCTCCTCTTCCTCCTCCTCCTTCTCCTTCCCCTTCTCCGCCTTTTTTTCGTTCTTCGGTTTCCCTCCTCTTCCTGCTCCCCCTGCTCCCGCTGCTCCTCCCCCTGCTCCCCCTGCTCCCCCTGCTCCCACTGCTCCTCCCCCGAAGGAATTCGACGTGTTTATCACTGCGGATCAGGCCTGGACGAACGGCTCAGATCACACGGTATGGCTGGGCGAGCCAGGCCTGCCGTCGATGATGTGCTCGTGCTTCCTTTTCTTCCGCCCTACTGTGGGGGGCAAAGCCGTTGCAGCGTTGTGGGCATTGAGCATGGTAGTAAGAGGGCATGAGGTCGGGCTAGACCAGGACCATCTGATAAACGTGACGAAGATCATGAGTGAGCGCGGAGTTGAGGCGCACATCGGCGTTCTGCCGTGGAAGAAGTTCCCATCAGGGCAGCTGATGAGAGACAATATGACTGAGTTTCAGAGGATAAGGCCGGGCGTCGTGATGGTGCATGCGAATTGGATAATCGGGAAGCAGAAGAAGATTGAGAGGTTGATTGAGGTGGGGGTGTGGCTGCTGCCCCCAACGCCACCGGAGGGTGAGGAGCAGGGGAGTAGAGGGGGTAGCAGTGCTGGTGCTGATGCTGTTGGGTGCGGTGCAGGTGATGCCGATGCTGCTGGTGGTGGTGTTGGTGGTGGTGCTGCTGCTTGTGACGGTGGTGCTGCTGGGAGAATCAAGGTCTTGGGGAGTGAGGGGAGCAGGATTATTGGCAAACATTTTGGCGGCGGTCCTGCTGCTGGCGATGAGCAAGGGAGTGAGCGGGTGGAGGGGGGCGGGGTGGGGGAGGAGGAGGTGGAGAGGCGCCTGATGAGCGTGGCGCGATGGGTTCCGTCGCATGTGGAGGCTGTCTTAAGGGGTGCGCCTAACGTGGCCAGGGACGGACTGTTAATTCTCACTGTAATTTGCGATGGTATGGCATGCTAGGTTAGGGCATGTTAGGGTGTGGTAGGACGTGGTAGGGCGTGGTAGGGCATGGTAGGGCGAGGTAGATCATGGTAGGGCGTGGTAGGGCGTGGTAGGGCGTGGTAGGGCATGGTAGGGCATGGTAGGGCATGGTAGGGCATGGTAGGGCGTGGCAGAGCGTGGTAGGGCGTGGTAGAGCGTGGTAGGGCATGGTAAGGCGTGGTTGGGTGTGGTAGGGCGTGGTAGGGCATGGTAGGGCATGGTTGGGCATGGTAGGGCATGGCAGGGCATGGTATGGCGTGGTAAGGCATGGTAGGGCATGGTAGGGCGTGGTAGGACATGGTAGGGGAGCATCGTAGGGCATGGTAGTGCATGGTATGGGGCTGGTGTTTAATGGTTCCTTGTGGGACGGGGTAGTGGGAGTGGCAGAGTGGCAGAGCACAGTTCCAAGGCATGACGGTGCAGGGGAGTGGCAAAGAGGTTGCCGTCGCATGTGGATGCTGTGAGGATTGTGCCTGGCGTGGCAAGAGACGGACCTCTTATTCTAGCAGTGCTATGACATGGTATGTCATGTTATGTCATGGTAGATCATGGTATGTCATGGTAGATCATGGTAGGCCATCGTAGATAATGGTAGATTATGGTAGGCCACGGTAGATCATGGTAGGTCATGGTAGATCATGGTAGATCATACTAGGCCATGGTAGATCATTGTAGGTCATCGTAGATAATAGTAGATCATGCTAGGCCATGGTAGATCATTGTAGGTCATGGTAGATCATGGTAGATCATGCTGGGCCATGGAAGATCATGGTAGATCATGGTAGATCATGGTACATCATGGTAGATCATGGTAGATCATGGTAGATCGTGATAGATCATGGTAGATCATGGTAGGTCATGGTAGATCATGGTAGGTTATGGTAGATCATGGTAGATCATGCTAGGCCACGGTAGATAATGAGAAATCATGGTAGATCATGGTAGGTCATGGTAGATCATGGTAGATCATGGTAGATTATGGTAGATCATGGTAGATCATGGTAGATCATGATAAATCATGGTGGATCATGGTAGGCCATGGTAGCTCATGGTAGATCATGGTAGATCATGGTAGGTCATGGTAGATCATGGTAGAACATGGTAGATTATGGTAGATCACGGTAGATCATGGTAGATCATGGTAGGTCATCGTAGATGATGGTAGATCATGGTAGATCATGGTAGGCCATGGTGGAGTATGGAACATTATGGTAGATCATGGTAGGTCATGGTAGATCGTGATAGATCATGGTAGATCATGGTAGGTCATGGTAGATCATGGTAGATCATGCTAGGCCACGGTAGGTAATGAGAAATCATGGTAGATCATGGTAGGTCATGGTAGATCATGGTAGATCATGGTAGATTATGGTAGATCATGGTAGATCATGGTAGATCATGATAAATCATGGTAGATCATGGTAGGCCATGGTAGCTCATGGTAGGCCATGGTAGCTCATGGTAGATCATGGTAGATCATGGTAGATCATGGTAGGCCATGGTAGGTCAAGGCAGATCATGGTAGATCATGGTAGATCATGGTAGGTCATGGTAGATCATGGTAGGTCATGGTAGATCAAGGCAGATCATGGTAGATCATGGTAGATCATGCTAGATCATGGTAGGTCATGGTAGATCATGGTAGATCATGGTAGGTCATTGTAGATCATGGTAGGTCATGGTAGATAGTTGTAGATCATGGTAGATCATGATAGATTATGGTAGGTCATGGTAGATCATGGTAGATCATGGAAGATCATGGGAGATCATTGTAGATCATGGTTGATCATGGTAGATCATGGTAGATCATGGTAGGTCGTGGTAGATCATGGTAGACCATGGTAGATCATGGTAGATCATGGTAGGTCATGGTAGATCATGGTAGGTCATGGTAGATCAAGGCAGATCATGGTAGATCATGGTAGATCATGGTAGATCATGCTAGATCATGGTAGATCATGGTAGGTCATGGTAGATCATGGTAGATCATGGTAGGTCATGGTAGATCATGGTAGGTCATGGTAGATAGTTGTAGATCATGGTAGATCATGGTAGATCATGGTAGATCATGGGAGATCATTGTAGATCATGGTTGATCATGGTAGATCATGGTAGATCATGGTAGGTCGTGGTAGATCATGGTAGACCATGGTAGATCATGGTAGATCAAGATAGATCATGGTAGATCATGGTAGGTCATGGTAGATCATGGTAGACCATGGTAGATCATGGTAGATCTTGGTAGATCATGGTAGATCATCGTAGGTCATGGTAGATCATGGTAGATCATGATAGATTATGGTTGGTCATGGTAGATCATGGTAGATCATGGTTGATCATGGTAGATCATTGTAGATCATGGTAGATCATGGTAGGTCATGGTCGATGATGGTAGATCATGGTAGATCGTGGTAGATCATGGTCGGTCATGGAAGATCATTCTAGGCCATGGTAGATCATGATAAATCATGGTAGTTCATGGTACGTCATGGTAGATCATGGTAGGTCATGGTAGATCATGGTAGATCATGGTAGATCATGGTAGATCATGATAGATCCTGTTAGATCATGGTAGGTCATGATTGATCATGGTAGGTCATGCTAGGCCATGGTAGATCATGGTAGATCATGCTAGGCTATGGTAGATCATGGTAGATCATGCTAGGCCATGGTAGGTCATGGTAGATCATGGTAGGTCATGGTAGATCATGGTAGGTCATGGTAGATCATGGTCTGTCATGGTCGGTCATGGTAGTTCATGGTAGATCATGGTAGGTCATGGTAGGTCATGGTAGATCATGGAGGATCATAGTAGGCCATGGCAGATCATGGTAGATCATGCTAGGCCATGGTAGATCATGGTAGATCATGGTAGGTCATGGTATGTACGTATCATATAGTTTCACCGCGTGTAGCTTCATCACTGCCCTCTTCTGCCTCTTCTGCCGAGCTGCTATATCTGCATGAGGTGATGCTATGCACCCTGTCACATGGTATGGCATGGCATGACTTGGGGTGTCTTGGCAACTTGTGGCATGGGATGGCATGGCATGGAGTGGTATGGCAACTTGTGGCGTGGCATGGCATGGCCACAGAAAGCGAGTCAGGTCCTTTCAGGAGGTGGCTCAGGTTAATTTCCAAGCTCGGACTCGCAACCAACTTCCTCGCGTCTGTTGCCAGTCAGGTGTGCCTCTGTTGCCAGTCAGGTGTGCCTCTGTTGCCAGTCAGGTGTGCCTCAGTTGCCAGTCAGGTGTGCATCTGTTGCCAGTCAGGTGTGCCTCTGTTGCCAGTCAGGTGTGCCTCTGTTGCCAGTCAAATGTGTGCCGTGCATGTGACTTCACAAGTGTAACACCGCCTCCTTGTCACCACCTGCATGTCACCACAAGGACACCCATGCGTATGCTATCCTGCATTATTCCCAAGCGAACCACCCAAGAGGACGTGCTTTTCCTGCTGTTCCTGCTGTTCCTGCATTATTCCCGCTACTGTTCCTTCCGCCTCCCCCTGTCCAATTACCCCGCCCATCATTCACCAGCCTGCCTCCTGTTGTGTCGCTGCTTGGCCCTCTCCTCTCATCCCAGCCCTCTCCACCCTTCCCTCAACTCCCTCTGCCCCTGCCAATCCCTCCACCCACTCATGTGCCCTGCTGACTCCTCCACCCACTCATGTGCCATGCTGCCTCCACCCACTCATGTGCCATGCTGCCTCCACCCACTCATGTGCCCTGCTGCCTCCGCCCAATCATGTGCCCTGCTGCCTCCGCCCACTCATCTGCCATGCTGCCTCCACTCCACCCACTCATGTGCCATGCTGCCTCCACCCACTCATGTGCCATGCTGCCTCCACCCACTCATGTGCCCTGCTGCCTCCGCCCACTCATGTGCCCTGCTGCCTCCTCCCACTCATGTGCCATGCTGCCTCCACCCACTCATGTGCCATGCTGCCTCCACCCACGCCTGTGCCCTGCTGCCTCCGCCCACTCATGTGCCCTTCTGCCTCCACCCATGTGCCATGCTGCCTCCAACCACTCATGTGCCATGCTGCCTCCACCCACTCATGTGCCATGCTGCCTCCACCCACTCATGTGCCCTGCTGCCTCCGCCCACTCATGTGCCCTGCTGCCTCCGCCCACTCATGTGCCCTGCTGCCTCCACCCACTCATGTGCCATGCTGCCTCCACCCACTCATGTGCCCTGCTCCCTCCACCCACTCATGTGCCATGCTGCCTCCACCCACTCATATGCCATGCTGCCTCCGCCCAATTATGCGCCCTGCTTCCTCCCCCCCCTCATGTGCCATGCTGCCTCCACCCACTCATGTGCCCTGCTGCCTCCGCCCACTCATGTGCCATGCTGCCTCCACCCACTCATGTGCCATGCTGCCTCCACCCACGCCTGTGCCCTGCTGCCTCCGCCCACTCATCTGCCCTGCTGCCTCCACCCATGTGCCATGCTGCCTCCGACTACTCATGTGCCATGCTGCCTCCACCCACTCATGTGCCATGCTGCCTCCACCCACTCATGTACCCTGCTGCCTCCGCCCACTCATGTGTCCTGCTCCCTCCACCCACTCATGTGCCATGCTGCCTCCACCCACTCATATGCCATGCTGCCTCCACCCACTCATGTGCCCTGCTGCCTCCGCCCACTCATGTGCCCTGCTCCCTCCACCCACTCATGTGCCATGCTGCCTCCACCCACTCATATGCCATGCTGCCTCCGCCCAATTATGCGCCCTGCTTCCTCCCCCCCCTCATGTGCCATGCTGCCTCCACCCACTCATGTGCCCTGCTGCCTCCGCCCACTCATGTGCCATGCTGCCTCCACCCACTCATGTGCCATGCTGCCTCCGCCCACTCATGTGCCCTGCTGCCTTCGCCCACTCATGTGCCCTGCTGCCTCCGCCCACTCATGTGCCATGCTGCCTCCACCCACTCATGTGCCCTGCTGCCTCCGCCCACTCATGTGCCCTGCTCCCTCCACCCACTCATGTGCCATGCTGCCTCCACCCACTCATATGCCATGCTGCCTCCACCCACTCATGTGCCCTGCTGCCTCCGCCCACTCATGTGCCCTGCTCCCTCCACCCACTCATGTGCCATGCTGCCTCCACCCACTCATATGCCATGCTGCCTCCGCCCAATTATGCGCCCTGCTTCCTCCCCCCCCTCATGTGCCATGCTGCCTCCACCCACTCATGTGCCCTGCTGCCTCCGCCCACTCATGTGCCATGCTGCCTCCTCCCACTCATGTGCCATGCTGCCTCCACCCACTCATGTGCCATGCTGCCTCCACCCACGCCTGTGCCCTGCTGCCTCCGCCCACTTATGTGCCCTGCTGCCTCCACCCATGTGCCATGCTGCCTCCAACCACTCATGTGCCATGCTGCCTCCACCCACTCATGTGCCATGCTGCCTCCACCCACTCATGTGCCCTGCTGCCTCCGCCCACTCATGTGCCCTGCTGCCTCCACCCACTCATGTGCCATGCTGCCTCCACCCACTCATGTGCCATGCTGCCTCCACCCACTCATGTGCCCTGCTGCCTCCACGGTCCACCCACTCATGTGCCATGCTGCCTCCACCCACTCATGTGCCATGCTGCCTCCGCCCACTCATGTGCCATGCTGCCTCCACCCACTCATGTGCCATGCTGCCTCCACCCACTCATGTGCCATGCTGCCTCCACCCACTCATATGCCCTGCTGCCTTCGCCCACTCATGTGCCCTGCTGCCTCCACCCACTCAGGTGCCATGCTGCCTCCACCCACTCATGTGCCCTGCTGCCTCCGCCCACTCATGTGCCCTGCTCCCTCCACCCACTCATGTGCCATGCTGCCTCCACCCACTCATATGCCATGCTGCCTCCGCCCACTCATACGCCCTGCTTCCTCCGCCCACTCATGTGCCATGCTGCCTCCGCCCACACATGTGCCCTGCTGCCTCCGCCCACTCATGTGCCATGCTGCCTCCCCATGTACATCACCTCCCGGCCACCACCCTGCTCTCCCAACTCTTCCCCCTGCCTCGCTCCTGCAGGTCCCTCTGCCCTCTGCCGCTCCCTCCAGCCATATTATTCTCCAGCCTGCCTCAACTGCTGCTGTGGGAGGCAGTGAGAGTGAGAGTGAGGAGAAAGCCGCAGGGAGGGACCGGTTAGCATGCCTGCTTATGCCCGCGCTGCTGGCGTCTCGCCTGCTCTCCGTCAACATCACAGTGCTCTTCAGGTTGGTGCGGTGCTCGTCAGGTGAGAGCAGTGCAGTTCAGGTGATTGTGGTGCTCACTGGCAGGTGAGTGTGGTGCTCACTGGCAGGTGAGTGTGAGTGTGCCGCGGTAGTGTGGTGATGCATGTCACGGTGGTGTGGTGCTCCGTAATTGCTTGCAGGCAGGCATCTCTCTCCATGTGCCCTTCCTGCATCTTCATTTCTCACACAAGAATTCGTCTCACAATCTCCATGGCTAGATGTGCTGGTGCTCGTCATGTACACGTGGCATTTGTCGTAACATCCTTGCATTGCTCGGCGTTGTATTTGAGCTTTGCGACTATTGCTCTTGCTCTTTGCATTCCAATCAACCAGCATTCCTTCCCATCTCCTATCTCCTTCTCTTTCCCTTCTCCCCCCTCTTTCACCCCATTCAAATCTTTCCATTCCCACCACCACCCGTGCCAGTGACCCGTCATCTATCTGGCTGCACAGCCCTCTCCCACACCTCCCCCCCTCCTTCTCAGTCCTCCTGCCCTCGACCGCCCATCCCTCCACACCCCCCTCTTTCAACACCACCACTCCCACCCCTCTCGACCGCTCCCTCATCGGCTCTCTCACTCCCTGGCTGCTTCTGCTCCGCCCCTCCCCTCCCTCCTCCTCGCCCTCTCCCTCCTCTCTCTCCTGCACTCACTCCCTCACTCTCTCCTGGGGCCTACACGCATTCAAAGCCCTTTCCAGAGTGCCTTCAGTCACAACCAACGTGGAGGGAGAGGGGGAGGGCGTGCGTCTTGCCTTGACAGTGGCTGTACAGAGTGCTTTGAACCACGCTGTAGCACGAGTGGTGGAAGCAGGACCAGGTGAGGCAGGGGGTGAAGGAATGACAGTTGGGGTGTTGCCTGAAGGGT